ACAGGCCCCTCCCACGATAGTTTGATTGACAGTAGCGTTTCAGCACAGACTGGACTGGCGTCTTACCTTAGACCCACCCTGAGTGAGCTGTCATCAGTCCGCCATTGTTTCACCGCTGGAGCAGATGTAGACAAGAATGACTCCTAAGCGATTGAGGTGTTCTGTTGTTGGATGTAATAATGAACATAGCAGTCGTCATTTACTCCCGACATCTGAGCCGCTGAACTGGCAGTGGATTACATTTGTTTCTGAAGGGAATGCGCCCCCGATCAGCATAGATGCGTCTATGTTCGCGCGAATCATTCATGATCCAGCTTCATCTACAGAAGAAGTGAGTATAATGTTTTGTAATGAATCTTTGCAAATCGACTTTCCTAATAATGTGCTAATTAGCAAGTTTCACAATGAATGCGACTAAAGTAAACAGTCTCTCTGAGAGCAGCTCGGAAGAGAGGGGCGGGGTGAGCAGAGCTCATTAACATTTAAAGGAAAATGCTACAAAAAAAGCATGATCTGAAAAGAGCTGTTTTTGACAGGGTAAAAAAAGGTGTTTTTTATACTACCATTGAGAAATTTTAACCAAACTATGTTACAGACTTTTCATTAAGACCCTAAAGAATCATATCAACTTGTGGAAAATGGGCATCCTATGACCCCTTTAAAACTAGGCTGTTTTTGTGCCTGCCTGTTACTAAACGGCAGTCATTGTGTGACTTCTGACTTGACAATAGGGTAGCTAGCTCAAGCTCAAAATACCATGGTTCTTATTTGTGCAAAATTCAGCTGAATTCTGAATTCAACTGCTCTGGAGATGTCAACAAATCTACCGTCTTGAAACTTTTAAACATCAGGGTTATGAGTCCTCTATAAATATAGCTTTTATACACTTCAATTAATGGTGTGTTGCTGTTATATTTTAATTCCAGTTCAGATGATCTGAATCAGATTATCAAGTTAAAATTACTTTGAAGTTCAACATAAGGTTGACACACACTTTTTATTACAATTATATCATTGTTATGTGAACCCCAAAAAGTACATATTTGTTTATCACTTGATTTATTTATTGGTTTATTTATTGTTCCCTTTCAGTCGGTCACTCCCGACGTCACGTCGGTTGACCGACGAAATTGGGATCTCGCTTAGAGGGACCAATCCACTTCGAGTGTAAACTAAACGAGCCAATGCACATTGGCATGCGATTATTGCATCCAGCTGCTGCTGATCACAGCGTGAGTATAAGTAGGCAGCAGATGCAACGCATATTCAGCTTTTCGCTTCGGAGCCG